TCATAGGATGTGTGAGTGATCAACTTTAAATGAGAGCACTAAATTGTTTTCTGAAATGGTTTTACAACCCCTGGGGATCCCACTGCTCTACATCTTCCCAGTAGTTTATATTATCAGTCTTTTTCATTTTTGCCAACACAGTAGGTATAAAATGATATCTTATTGTGGTCATAATTTGCCTATGTCTGAGGTTGAGCATCCCTGCATATGTTTATTGGCCTTAATGTATTTCTTCTGTGAAATGACTCTGCGTGTTTTTCATGTCTTTTACCCATTTTTTTGTTTTTGTTTCCTTACTGATTTTTACGAATTTTTATGTATCTTGGCGCTAATCTTGTCAGTTTTGTTTTACAAATATCTTATCCCGGTTTATAGATTGTCTTTATTTAAAAGTATCTTCTGATAGACAAAGTTTTAATATTAATTTAGCCAAACTTACTAATATGTCCTTTTATGCTTAACCTTTTTGTGTCTTCATAAATTCTTCCCTACTTCAAGGTCAGAAAGTTATTCACTTATATTTTCTTTTCAGCTTTTCAAAGTTTGCTTTTGACATTTAAGTTCTTCATCCATCTGGAGTGAATTTTTCAGCATGGTGTGACTAAGAATCCAATTTCATTTTTTTCCTATGGATAAACAGTTTTTCCAGTTTTTCCTTTTCCAGGCTGTTCTGTCTAAAATCAAAGTTTCACAGATGCAGAAATCTTTTCCTAGGCTCTTAACTTTTTATGCCATTGGTCAGAGTTTGTTTATCTCTGTACCGTTACTTCCATGTCTTAATTACTATAGCTTCACAATAAGCTCTTTTAGCTAGCAAGGCAAGTTCACCTTCCTATTCTTCTTTAGAAATATTCCATCTATTGTTAGCTCTTTTTTCTAATTTTAGAATCCATCGGGTTTCACAGAATAATTGAGGTTTAACTTATATACAGTAAAATGACCATCTTTGGTGTACAGGTCTTTGTTTCAGCAAGTGCATGCAATCATGTAACCAGCACCACAATCAAGATGCAGGACAGTTCTGTCACCCACCCCCAAAATCCTCTCATCTTCTTTATAGTCAACTTCCTCCCCAATTCCAACCCCAGCCCCAGCCCCAACCCCAACCCCAATCCCAGTCTCTCACAACCTCTGTTGTTTTCTGTTGAGATGTTTTTTCTAATTTTTACTTTTTCAGTGCTTGATTAAAATATTGGAATTTTTTGCTGGAGTGCATTAAATCTGTAGATCAGGTTAGGACAGAAACAACATATTAAGTCTTTCTGTTCATAAACATAATGTGTCTATTACCTTAGAGACTTTGCTTGACAATAATGGAAAGTTCTTTTTAAAAAAATCTAAACATTTTAAGTAATTCTTTAAAACTCCTAATAGAAGAAGTATTTTATAAGATAATTATCAACAAACAAAATGCTTATAAATACACAGCAGATACGAGGTAGTATTACTTTTATATATATATGTATATATATACACACACACACAAATATATATAATGTTTATATATGTGCCACATCTTCTTGGTTCTAGACCAACTTTCTTGCTTACCTACAAGCCCTCAGGTAAGCTGTTTAGTTTCTCTGATGCTCAGTCTCTTTATCTGTATAGTGACCGGAACATGGAAGATTAAGTGCTGTAATGTGTGCAGAGTGTCAAGAGACAATGGAGCAGGCACAGCGATGCCTGAGAAGATGAGCCTTACATGAGGGGACCTGTTCTCACTCACCTCCAGGGGAGCAGGAGTCCTTTCAACGTGTTTGGTTCCCCAGTGGCTTTGACAAAGTGGCAGGACCGTGAGATTGTCTTGAATCATTTCCCTGACAAATTTGGAAAAGCTTAGTGCTACCCAGCAGCCTGCTACATGCTGCTTCAGACAGGCTAGCTGGAATCACTGGAAGACACAGTTGATAGCCAATTCATTTTGCTGATTCATCCATTAGAGACATGGCTTTGAGCTGGGACTTGAAGGAATGCTGGTAAATTATTGCCACATGAAGGCCAGCAGTGAAAAGTGGACTGTTATTTGTTTCCCCTTTTAAGTGATCCTAATTCTAGATGTGCTCAGATAAATTCTCTTACCATGGTTAGGGAGTTGTTTGTAACATTTGTCCATCAACTGGGAGCTAAGTTATTGAAAACAATCAGATATCATTAAACAGATCATTTGGCTTCTTTATGATCCTGTCATCACCTTTGCTTTCATAGGGAATACTGACCCAAGCCTCCTTGCTTCCTTGGTAATCCAAATTAAACTTGAAAGAGGAATTGTTACAGGTTCATTCCTTTTGGGCACACTTAAAAAATCAAAATTCTAAATTAAAGAATGACATTTGAAGAGGAACATCTGGGAGATGCTCATTTGCTGACGGTCAGTAGAGAGTAATGACAGTAGAACCAGTGAGTTCTCATGATAAATCACACTGATATATTAACATGTTTTAATCGGGAGTCTCAAGTTTACAGGGAAATTGCCTCTACATAAATCTGGTTTGTAGCAGGGTAAGCTTTAAGGGGGTGGGGATTGTGTCCTGTTTTACCAAATACCTAGCGTAGACCCTGGGACAGAGACACTCAGTAAGCAATTGCTGGATGGAAGAATGGGTGGATGATGTTTGTGGGATTTATATTGTTGGGAGACTGTATAAATGAGTGAAAAAAGTCAGAAATATGATGCATTGAAAATAGGAAAAGTAACTGTTCCCAGGAATAAGATTTGCGAGAAAGGATCTTGTTTCTGTGACTCTCTGATACAAGTGAGTTTGTCAACAGCACGTCTCCAAAACGGGTGGTTTTCACTGTTTACCTCCTTGTGAGTGAGCCAGAGCATGCTGTTTTGAGCTCACATTTCAGTAACTCACTCTGCTTCTTTGGGAGACTTTATATATAGTATGGAAGTTCTCTAATATTTAGAGGGCTTTTCTCCCCTTTCACTCTTTAACTCTAGAGTGAATACTTGAAAAGTAGAGCAGACTTCTTGGTAAAAATTTATGTTTTTGAAAGAAGTAGTTTTTTTTTTTCCTTTGTTCTGTTTTTTTGACAACTAAATATTTAGGGCATAACATTCTGGAAAACACTGTTGTGCTGAGAAGTTATAGTTAAATCTGGGCTACCTGAAGTTTAAAAAGCATCAGGTGTTGGTTGTGTGAACATCTGCCTCTCATACAGTTGTCTTTCTCTTGATGTAATGTCCCTGATACACTGGAACCCGTTGCCCAGTTCTGACATTCTCAGAGCCTGCATGCTTGTCACCACTTGCTCCATTCAGCCATGCATCCATTCACATCCTGTTTACTGAGAACTCCTCTGTACCCTGAACTTTTCTAGGTGCAGGTATACAGCCTGTGCCTGACATCATGGTGCTTTTGTCACTACCCAGGTACCAGTACCGCCCCTCGCAGTGTGGCCTTGCTACCATTGTGGGTAATAGCTGCTTGCAGTGACAGTGGGTTAGGAGAGCACACACCCAGACTGCATGAGCCAGAACCAGCACATGGGCACCCATCCACCAGCAGGCCTATCACTGATCCTCAATCCCACACTACCAGCGTTTTCTGTCTACCAGCCTCAAAAGAGGAGGCAGTGTGGGATTATAGCAGAATTGGCCCGGCCTTAGCTTAAGACATTAACACCAAGCAGGGAATAAGCTCCAGTGTTAAGTACTCCTGCCAGCTAGAGGCAGGTTCAGAGAATTTTGTTTATTTTTATTTATTCATTTTTTTAAGACTAGTCAAGTGCAGTAGTGAGAAGGAGGTACAAGGAGTTCCACCTGTAACTGACGGTGAACAATCGAGATAATTCACTATCTTCTGACCAGCCAGAATGAGCAGTTTTTAAAAGCTGAAGAGGTATGTCTCAAGTGTGTTGGAGATTTCCTGAATTTGTAAAGTCCAAAGTGAGTGCAAAGCAACCAGAGGGGCCTGGGCATTAGGGTCAGAGTAAGCTGGTTTTGCATTCCAGACCTGCCATTCTCCCAGGTGTGCCTGTTGGTAAATCCTTGATCTCTGCAACCCTGCTTTCTCATCAGTAAAAACATTTCCTCCCTTGCAGGTATACGTGATGATTAGATATAATATATGTAAAACAAACACTGGGCACAGACGTAGAGGAGACCTTCAGTGTTTGAAATAGTGATCACCACTACTGGCAGTATTGCTTTTTTTTTCCTTTTTCTTCTTCTTCTTTTTTGTAGTGATGGAGTTTTTCTATGTTGTTCAGGCTGGTCTTGAACTCCTGGCCTCAGGCAAACCTTCTGCCTTGGCCACTGGGATTGTAGGCATGAGCCACCATGCCCAGTCTGTTGTCTTTTTTTTTTTTTTTTTTTCTTGAGTTGGAGTCTCACTCTCTCGCCCAGACTGGAGTGCAGTGGCCACTTCTAGCCACCGCAGCCTCGACCTGCTGGGCTCCGTCGATCCTTCCACCTCAGCCTTCCAAGTAGCTGGAACTACAGGCGCGCTATCACGCCTGGCTAATTTTTGATTTATTGTAGAGATGAGGTCTCGCCAAGTTGCCCAGGTGGGTCTCGAACTCGTGAGCTCAGGCAATCCACTCACCTCAGCCTCCCAAGGCACGGGATTACAGGCTGAGCCACCAAGCCTGGCGTCATTTTTATTCTTAACAAAATAGTGAGAGTTTTACCATTTTCTCTTAGTGGTTGTGTTTATCTTCATTGTGTTACTCTGAAAATGAGTAATTTTCAAGCAGTAATGTTAACTGGAAATATTTTTTAAATTAGCATTTTACGTACTTCATCGCTGTTCTTTACAGTTCACAAAACACTTTCATACAAGGGAAATTGGGGAGCAATGACTCTCTCTCTTCTCCATATGAGGAGACAGCCTTGGAGAGTTTCTGGGACATACTCAAGGTCACTAAGTAGCAGAACCATGGCCAGAGCTCCGACTTCAGCTTAGGACTCCTTTGTCTACTTTCAGCCACCTTTCAAAAGTGACATCTTTGGGGCTAGACCAGATATTTATATGTTTTTTTCCTTTTCCTTGTAGCTGTCAATACCAGCAAATATGCTGAAAGCTATCGGATCCAGACCTATGCTCAATATGTGGGGAAGAAACAGGAAGAGAAGCAGATCAAGAGAAAGTGGACAGAAGATGGTTGGAAGGAGGTTGACAGAAAGCGGTTAAACACCCAGTGCAAATCCTATGCCCTGCAAAATAACTATTACTACACCAATAGGTAAGAGTTCTTGTCTGTTGATTTAAAAGGTTAGAGTTGTTCTCATACCTTCTTACAGGATTGTAAATAGTAAGTCTGATTTTTGAGAAAGATTATTTTTCTAACTTTCCACATAATATCAGAAGTAAATACTACCTTAATTCTCTGTGAGTTTTGTTGTGGTTGTTGTTGTTTGAGTCAGAGTCTCACTCTTATCTCCCAGACTGGAGTGCAGTGGCACAATCACAGCTCACTGCAGCCTGGACCTCCTGCCCTCAGACAGTCCTTCTGCTTCAGTCTCATGAGTAGCTGGGACTATAGGTGTGTGCCATCAATGCCTAGCTAATTTTTTAATTTTTCATAGAGATGACTTCTCATTATTTTGCCTATGCTGGTCTTGAACTCCTAGATTCAAGATCCTCCTGCCTTAGCCTCCCAAAGTGCTGGAATTACAGACATGAGCCACTGCAACGGCCTCCCTGTGCTTCAGAGAATACTTTATAGACCACAGCTGTTTGATTAACCCTCACAAAACCCCCTTGAGGTAGAAAGGATATGTCTTACTCTCATTTTAGGGGTGAGGAAATGGAAGCTCTGTGGTTTATCCATCAGTTCAGTGGGAGAACTAGGATTAGAGCTGAACATGTCTGCATCTAATCCCTTCCCCTTCTCAGTGTCCATGTTGCCACTGTCTCAGCACCTGGACTCCTTTCAGATCCCATGTGGATACTGAACCATGTGCCTGCTGTAAAAAAAGTATTTGACACACATTTCGTTTAATCACCCCAATCCTATGTAACTTCAGAAGATAAGTACTGGGCAGGCTTGATGGCTCACATCTGTAATCCCAGTGCTCTGGGATGCCGAGGCGGGAGAATGCTTGAGCCTAGGAGTTCAAGACCAGCCTAGGCAATATAGCAGGACCCCATCTCTACCAAAAAAAAAGTTTTAAATTAGCTGGTACATGCATATGGTCCTAGCTACTCAGGAGGCTGAGACTGGAGGGTCACTTGAGCCTAGGAGTTTGAGGTTATGGTAAGCTATAATTGTGCCATTACATTCAGCTTGGATGACAGAGCGAGACCATCTCTTAAAAAAAAAGGGAAGTTAAATGCTGGCAATATTTTAAACTGATAAAATAAATCAAAATAATTAACCGGGCGTGGTAGTGCGTGCCTATAATTCCAGCTATGTTATGTTATGTTATGTTATGTTATGTTATGTTATGTTATGTTATGTTATGTTATGTTATATGTTATGTTATGTTATGTTATATTATTTTTGAGTTGGAGTCTCACTCTGTCGCCCTGGCTGGAGTGCAGTGGCACACTCATGGCCACTGCAGCCTCGACCTGCTGAACTCAGGTGACCCTTCCGCCTCAGCCTTCCAAGTAGCTGGAACTACAGGTACGCACTACCACGCCTGGCTAATTTTTTTATTTATTGTAGAGATGAGGTCTTGCCAAGTTGCCCAGGCTGGTCTCAAACCCTTGGACTCAGGCAATCCTTTCACCTCGGCCTCCCAAAGTGCTGGGATTATAGGTGTGAGCCACAGTGCCTGGCCTGCTGCTGGATTTAATTGCTAATATTATGTTAAATATCTTTGCATCTTTGTTCATGAGGAAAAAAATCAGACTGTAATTTTCTGTTATTCTTTGTCAAGTTTTGGTATCAGGGTTATGCTGACCATGGAATTTTATTGTAAGAGTTTTCTCTTCTGTTATTTTCTGAAACAGTTTATGTAGAAATTACCAGTGAAGCATCTGGGCATAGACTTTCTTTGTGGAATAGTTTTTGATTATGAGCTCAATTTTCTAAATAGATATGAAGGTACTTAGATTTTCTATTTCTTGTGTGTATTTAGGTAATTTGTGCTTTTCAGTTATGTTCCATTTCAGTTTAAGTTGTCAAATTCATTAGCATAAATTGATTAGGCCAAAATATTCCTGTATAATTTTAATTATTTGTAGGATCTATAATGATGTTCTTTAAAAATTCCTGATGTTAGTAATTTGTATCACCTCTTTTTTTCTTACTAAAGGTTTTTTCATTATATTAATCTTTTCAAAGAACCATTTTGACTTAATTTGTTCTTCTTTTTGTTTTTCTGTCTTCTTTTTTTTCCATTTATTTGTAATCTTTTTTTTGAGTTGGAGTCTCACTTAGTCACTGGACGGCAGTGGCATACTCACAGCCACCCCAGCATCAACCTGCTGGGCTCCGGCAATCCTTCCACCTCAGCCTTCCAAGTAGCTGGAAGTACGGGCATGCACTACTAGGCCCAGCTAATTTTTTCTTATTTTAACTTTTTATTTTAAAGATGTGGGGTACAATTCAGGGTTAGGTGTATCTTGTTCATATTATTTCTTCTGCTTATAATTTGCTTTTTTTTTTTTGGTCTAGTTTGCTTAGGTGAAAACCTCCCTGATTTTATGCATTTCTTTTTTTCTACTAAAAGCATTTAAAGCTGTAAATTTTCTCCAGGTGTGGTGACTTACACTTGTAAATCCCAGCACTCTGGGAGACAAGGCAAGAGGACTGCCTGAGACCATCCCAGGCAACTTGGCAAGACCTCGTCTCTACAATAAATCAAAATATTAGCTGGGTATGGTGGATTCCAGCTACTTGGAAGACTGAGGCAGAAGGATCTCCTGAGCCTAGCAGGTTGAGACTGTGGTGGCCATGAGCGTGCCACTGCATTTCAGCCTGGGCGACAGAGTGAGATTCTAACCACACACACAAAAAAAAAAAAGCTGTAAATTTTCCTTTAAATTGTATTTAGCTGCATCTCACATATTGATATGTTGTCTTTTTCATATCATCAGCTACAGAATATTTTCTAATATATTTTGTACTTCCTTCTTTAACCCAAGAGTTATTTAGAACTTTTTTTTTTTTTTTTTGAGTCTGAGTCTCACTCTGTCACCCAGGCTGGAGTACAGTGGCACACTTTGTGGCCACCACAGCCTTGACCAGTCCTTGGGCTCAGGTGATCCTTCCACCTTATCCGGTCCTTTCATCTTACCTTCCAAGAAACTGGAACCACAGGCATGCACCACCACACCCAGCTAATTTTTTAATTTATTGTTGAGGCGAGGTCTCACCATGTTGCTCAGGCTGGTCTCAAACCTATGAGCTCAGGCAATCCTCTCGCCTCCACCTCCCAAAGTGCTGGTCTTACAGGCGTGAGTCGCTGCACCCAGCCTAGAACTTCTTTGATAATTATTGAGGTTTGTTTTATGACCTGACATATGGTCTGTCTTGGTGAGTGATTCGTGTACACTTAAAAAAATGAATAGAATGTTCCATGAATATCTTGTTAGTATTAAGTTGGTTTGTGGCATTGCTCAAATCTATATCCTTACTGATTTTTTTTTTTTTTTTTTGGTCTACTTGTTCTTTCAATTACCGAGAAGAGTGTTGAAATCTCTAACTATGGTTGTAGATTTGATTGTTTTCCCATTTAATTATGTTGGGTTTTTTGCTTCATATATTTTGAAGCTCTTTTGATATGTTATACCCATTTAGGATTGTTGTTTTCTTAATGAACTGTCTCTTTTATCATCATTTAGAATATTCCTCTTTAATTTTGCCTCATATTAACGTAGCCACCTTTTAAAAATGTTTTTTAAACATTTTATTTTAGATTCAGGGAATAGATGTTTGTTACATGAACATATTGTGTACTGGTAGGGTTTGGGCTTCAGGTGACCCATTCCCCAGTTAGTGAACATTATATCCAATAAGTAGTTTCTGAACCTTAATCTCCATCCCCACCTCCCCTCTTTTAGTGTCCCCAGTGTCTATTATTATTTCCATTTTTGTGGCCATTTAGCTCCCACTTAAAAGTGAAAACGTGGTGTTTGTCTTTCTGTTTCTGAGTTAGCTCACTTAGGATGATGTTCTGCAGCTCCAACCATAACATAGTTATTTCTATTTTCTTTTTATTTTATTTGATTTTTATTTTATTACATTAAATTTCATTTCAGAGTTGGGGTCTCACTATGTTACCTGGGTTGGTCTCAAACTCCTGAGCTCAAGTGAGCCTCCCACCTTGGCCTCCCAAAGTTCTGGGATTACAGGCATGAGCTACCATGCCCAGCTGCCACTTCTGTTTTCTATTGCTTAGTGTTTGCCTAGTATATTTTGTTCAGCCTTTTACTGGCAACTTGTCTTTAAAGTATGTTTCTTATAAACAGCATATAGCTAGGTCTTGCTTTTTTCTCCATTCTGCCAATCCCTGCCTTTTATATTAGTGACTAGTCGCTCTCCCATTTGTTTGTTTTCTGTTCTCTTTTCTTCTTTTTCTCTTGTTCTGCTGCTTTTTGTGTGAATTGTGTATTTTTTAGTATTTGCTGTTCTTTTAGCATCTCATTGTGTCTTCTCTATTGACTTTTTGCTTAAACCTCTTTGTATTATTTTGTTTGTTTGACTCAGGGTCTTACTCTGCTGCTGAGGCTGGAGTGCACTGGCATGATCATGGCTCACTACAGCCTTGACCTCCTGGGCTCAGGAGATCCTTTCACCTCAGCCTCCCAAGTAGCTGGGACTACAGGCATGTCCCCACCACTCTTGGCTAATTTTTAAATTTATTCTGTAGAGACGAGATCTCACTGTGTTGCTTAGGCTGGTCTTGAACTCTTGGGCTCAAGCAGTTCTCCCACCTCGGCCTCCCAAAGTGCTGGGATTACAGGTGTGACTGACCGCACCTGGCTGTATTATTCTTTTGGTAAATGCTTCAAAGTAGTGGTTGGCAAATTATGGCCCTTAAGTCAAATGTAGCCTATGTGTTTTTATAACATTTTATTGGAATACAACCATGCCCATTCATTTACATATTGCCTGTGGCTGCTTTCGAGTTATAACAACAAAGTTGGATAATTGTGACAGAGCCCTTATGGCCCCCCAAATTAAAAATGTTTGCTATTTTGCCCTTTTATAGAAAAGTTTTCTGACCATTGATCTAGAATTATACTGTCCAGTATGGTAGCCTACATTAACCACATGTGACTGTTGAGTAC